CTGTAGTTGTTGATTCTTTTATCCTTAATTCAGGCCGACTTGGTCCTGCTTCACTCTGCCTTGTTGCAACGTTTCGGAGGGCGGCTTGTCCTTCATCAGGCATAACAGAGTGGTATCTTTAAATGTCCTTTTCCTTAGGTTTCCCTTTAATTTGGTTCAAAAACGGTAAGTATTTTCCTTTTTTCCAGCTTGAGGTAAGTGTTTTCTTGTCCTTCTCTTCCGCTTGAGGCTTGTAATCAGAATAATATCTGCTAATTTTGTAATCTGCACCCTATTTGGGTGTCTGACGATTAAAATCCAATTTCTTAGTCTTCTCTTGCTTGAGGTTTCAATTTTATATTTCCAGTGGGTCACAATAATTACTGATGTTAAGTTTAGGGGTTGCAGCTAGGTAAGGATGTCCTCACTCTCCAGGGAAAGCTCCAGAATGACACACACGGCACTGGCTGGTTAGGAGGAGGGGAAAAGTCCCGGCTAACGAGTGTTAGCCAGACCGGTGCACGGTCCTGTGATGTGCCTTCAGAGTCCCCAGAAAGTGAAAAGCACCTCCAAACTCCACATTTTCCCTTATAACAGACACAAAAGTGCATTACCTCTGCGCTGGTTCAAAAAATTGGACTCCACGGGTCCTGTAGCTGTTGATTTTTTTATCCTTAATTCAGGCCGACTTGGCCCTGCTTCACTCTGCCCTGTTGCAACGTTTCGGAGGGCGGCTTGTCCTTCATCAGGCATGACAGAGTGGTATCTTTTAAATGTCCTTTTCCTTAGGTTTCCCTTTAATTTGGTTCAAAAACGGTAAGTATTTTCCTTTTTTCTAGCTTGAGGTAAGTGTTTTCTTGTTGTTCTCTTCAGCTTGAGGCCTCTAATCAGAATAATATCTGCTAATTTTGTAATCTGCACCCTATTTGGGTGTCTGACGATTAAAATCCAATTCGCTTCTTAGCCTTCTCCTGCTTGAGAATTTTAAATTTCCAGTGGGTCACAATAATCACTGATGTTAAGTTTAGGTGTTGCAGCTAGGTAAGGATGTCCTCACTCACCAGGGAAAGCTCCAGAATGACACACACGGCACTGGCTGGTTGGGGAGAGGGAAAAAAGAGCTGGCCAACGACTTACAAAGCTCTGCGTTAGCCAGTCTGGTGCACGGTCCTGTGATGCGCCTCCAGAGACCCCAGAAAGGCAAAAACACTCGCTCCTTGTTTGAGGTTTTAAGCATTTCCCACACTTCCCATGGTAAAAAACAAAAGTGCATTACCTTTGCATTTGTTCAAAAAATTGGACTTCACGAATCCTTTAATGTCTGCATCCTACTTGGATGTCTTACGATGAATTTTCCTATCTTCCTGTCCTATTAATCCAGGCCTACTTGGTCCTGCTTCACTCTGCCTTGTTGCAACGTTTCGGAGAACTATTTGTCCTTCATCAGGCTTTACAGAGTGGCATCTTTAAGTTTCCTTTTTCTTTAGGTAAGGGGGTTATAGCCACGATCATCAGGTGATGATCCTTGTGCTCATCTAGCAAAGCCGGCTTGGCAAGGACAGGGCCGTGACTCCCCTTGTAAAGCCGGCTTGGCAAGATCATCTAGCCAAGCCGGCTCGGCAAGCTCAGGGGTCACAGGGGTCGAGCCCATGTTAAGTCAACAGAGGCCTCCCGGCCGAGGCCAAAGTTGGGAGGTTAGGCAATGTTAAGTCAGAAACACAAGTCTCCGCCCCGTTTGGCTTCATCATCTTGTGTTCAGTAACAAAACAAACACATGTAGTAAAAGTTGTTTTTCTTGATGGCTCTCAGGCCGCGATTTATATCCTCTTTTTGATAAAAGGGTTAGGAATTGGCTAAGGGGGTAATAGCCGTGATCATCAAGTCACGATCCTTGTAGTCTTGTAAAACTGGCTTCGCAAGGTCATCTAGCAAACGGAATATGTAACCACAGTTGTAAGACCAAAAATGTTTGGAAAGAGTGTGTGAGGATTGAGGGAGACATGAGATATCAAACAGCAACTGATTGTCGGAATCCAGGTGAACTCTATGGATTAATTGATTTCGAGTCAGTGAGGGCTGAGCGAGGGGGAACAGGTGCGGGGGTGCCAAGTCCAAAAAGTAAACATTAGCTTTTCAGTATTAGTGCAACAAAATAAACATGGTTGGGTTTACGCAACACTGTGCTAGGGGTTTACGTTACAAAGTAGTAGGACAAACAACCAGTCACAATTTAGGGTCACCATTTCCCCTAGTTTGCATGTCTTTGGACGGTGAGAGGAAGCAAGAGCACCCAGAGAGAACCCATACAGACACTGGGAAAATATGCAAACTCCACACAGAAAGGCCAGGGCAACCGGGGTTTGCAAGATATGTATACACACACACACACACACACACACACATATATGTGTGTATATATATAGACACACACACACACACACGTGTTCCACTCTAAAAATAGAGGCATATGTTAATGCCTAGATTCAGGCCTTTCAAAGGAGATTATTTACCTCTTTGCATTTTCTATATATATATTTTTTGTTGTTGTTGTTTGTTTGTTTGTTTTCGTCTTTTTCCTTCAAATATCTTAAAGCCCATCAGGGTGCTAGTAGTATAATAAATTCATAAACTCCAAAAACACTTTAATAAGAACATCAAAAAGACTAATTTCCAACATTCACTTAAGGTTTTATTCTTTCTTTTACAGGGTTTTGTCTTCAGATATCTAAACATTTTAGTTTTTACAACACATGATCTTTTTCTAAACTTCACTAAGTCGTTTGTTTGCTTAAACATAACATAGACTGTGACCTTTTCCTAAACCCAACCAAAACTATGACCTTTTCCTGAACCTAACCAAGTAGCTTAATGTGCCAAAACCCAATAGAATCTATGAAGATTTTCTTAACCTAAAGGTGCTTAATACTGATGCTGAAGACTACACTTTAAAACTGTGTTTTGATACAGAAGCAGAAGGGTACCTTATGCGTCAAACGCTTTATCAGGTTTTTGGCAACCTCTAGATGCATCCTCTAGATGTCTGAGGCACTTAAGCCCCTGTGCCACGTCAACGCAGTCCATGTGGATGTGTTTTTTTTAAATAAAAAATTAACCCAGAGCAATTAACAATTTACAACACAGGAATTACCAACCATTAAATAAAGAATGGATACTGTATGTGATGCACATATTTGGTCTGACCTACTGATACATGTGTAATACTACTTTGAGGCTTTGTGCTTTTTAATGATTGTAACATTGACCAGGGAATATTACCCTGCTTTACAGAAACAGTGTTAATCCTTTGTATCCTGTCTCAATGGTTGTTGTTGTTTCTCTTTGACTCTGTGATTAGTGAGCTTTAGCGTCTGTCTTTATTAGTTTCACATCAGTTGGACAGCCTGAATGCTGTAGTTGGAAATTACAAAATGCAAGAAACGGGCGTGGCATCACACAAATTAGCCAACTTTAACCCAAATTAAACCCAGATAAACACCTTTAAAAGCAACTCAGAGGTTGAGAGGAAGCAAGAGCAGCAGTCCCAACTCAAATAACCTCTCTTCTGATGCTGGCACAGGTGCTTTCAAAGACCGCCGTCCAAGGCCAGGTGGATCTCATGCAGCAATCAGCTGTAGCACTCCTGAGGCACAACTAGAGGGCAGAAGAGGAACATGGACAAAGCACAGGGAAACACATACAGCTGTAAAACCCACCCTTAAAACAAATAAGTTGAAACCATATGTCATATACATGATTTGTCTGCACTACTGATACAAGTGTAATATTGTCTACTTTTAGGATTTGTGTTTGTGACAATGGAATTAGGGAAACTGAGAAAATGCTAATCCATAAACCATCCTACTAATTATTTTAGTTGTTTCTTGTTAAGTGAGAGTTGGGGTTAGAAGCATTAATCTATCTCAGGGACTCTCCCCTTGTCGCCCCACCACTTCAGGGTTTGGAGCGGAGAGCCATGAAGAAACTCTGTGGCCCCCCGGGAGACAGCGGCGGCGAGACAGCTGTGAAGAGCAAGATAGTTTTTCATCTCATATACAGTTGTCCATTTTTGAAATCAGCCTGTTGAGCTGACTCTGGCTCATTCACAGTTACTTTGCTGTTTATTAACAACCACTGTCAAATAAACAAATAAATGAAATTAAATTGTCATTTTAACCTCTGAAAATGGTGAGACGTGCTGTTTACTCAGAGCCCAAAGTGACACCTTCACAGTGCTTGGAAGGTGTCACTTAATGGAGATGTTCCAAATTTAGTTTGACTTCCACCTAATCACATGACACACATAAAGCTAGGACACTCAGCTAGGATCCAAGTATGATCATACATTTAGAGCTACACACTGTGACGTAACTTTGCTGTTTTGCTTGCTGTTAACATGCTCCATGGGACGGCGCTACTTCCCAAAACGTAATGTATTGTGTTCATAAAGTCATAGAAAAATGCGTCTGCTCGAGTAAGACTTTTCTAAAAGACTCACAGGTTCCCTTTCCCCCTATTCTGACACAAGTGGCCTTTGTCTTATTCTAACCCCAGTTTGTGTATCAGTTCTGGTAATAACCTCCTCCTTTAGTTTAAAGAAATGACAGTTCTCAGATGTGAAAAGTCCCTGCTTAAATAATATTCATGTGCCACAAACAATGTTAATCTATCAGTTAGAAAGGATTCATTGTTTGAATAGTTTTTAAACAACTCTACCTTTGTTATCATGTCAAATGTTGAATGTAAAAAAAACACCTTGTGTTTTACACAATGTCTAAGAATAGTTTTACATTTATATAGATCAATTTAGTGGAGTAAAAAGTCACTTCTCTCTGAGCCCTGAAGTAGATGGCATGAAAAGGACAGTGACTACTGTTTTGTTGTAAGATGTTCATTTGGCTCCATCTAGTGACCAAATGTGTATTCTGCAGCATGTGAGCTAAATTCTGCACCAATAAAGTCACAATGTCAGCAATGATAAATAAACAATATCTAATCAAAATAAAAAAGACAAAAGGAAGGTATTAAATTCAAAGTATTCAACATTTATTAAATTCAACACAAACATGTTCAACATATTTGATAAGTCACACCACAATGAAATGAATATGAAATAAACATAATATTAACATGAAACAAGAAAACATACACAAAAGCAATATAAAAACAGCTGCCAAAAAGATATTCCATAAACAAAATTTAAAAATCACTCTGCCTGCAATTTTAGAACAAGACCACGTAAATTGTGTATAGTCAACTTCAGTTTTTGGCATTTCTGCAGAAGCGCTGGCTCTCTGTTGAGAACAGCATTCATCTAAAAATCAAACACAGCAAACAAGCAATCGGAAATGTTTAGTGGAAAGGTGTCAGCCTGGAAAAGTTTACAGTCTGTAAGATAATATTTCAAGTATAATCCGGTCTGAAAGTCTTTTGTTAACACATTTGTATGCTTTAACTGTGCATGCAATCAGGTGTAATCCTTCCAAAAGGGAAAACAGAGAAGTTGTTCTCTGGGAAATTATCCTTATTACACAACTAAGTTAGACGCCATGTCCGTCACAAGGAACACTGTGATACTTACCATTCTAACGGTTATGGTGTCACTCCACACATCACGGAACAGTCTCCGGATATCATCTTTGAGGTCATCTGGGTACGTTAAAACCCTCCTTTTCTGAAACACAGGAAAAAGGGAGCAGTAAGAAAGTGTAAGTGTATGAAAAAAAAAAATTCAAGTACAGCTAAAGAATTTCTTGCATTATCCTTACAGTTTTTGATGAACTGGGACTCCTCACTTTGGGCAGGCAATAACCACTCTTCTGGAATAAGAAAACAATTTTTGACAGTGTGACATGTTAATTCATTTCCCCAAAGAAAATTTACACTGAAATGTATACCAGTAAATAAAAATCCAAATAATAATGCAGACCACAGTGGGATGGCTTACCCGGCGTGACTTTTTGAGAGGACTCTGCAGCTGCAAGGAAGAAAAGTTTGGGTATGAGAAGTTGACCCCATACTGTGATATGCTAAGTTACTCTGTGCATAGACGCTTACCACTTCTTGTGCATCATCAGCTGTCAACCCTTCTTCTGACTCATCAGGTGACCACGTGCTGTCGTCCGAATCATCTGGGGTGTCAGTCTCCTCTGTGTCCTCCGTCTTGCTTAAATTGCCTTCACTTGGTGGTGATGGTGATGGCGATGGCGGCTGTGGCTGTGGCTGCGGCTGCGGTTGTGGCTGTGGCCGCGTTGTCATTGGCTGGGACCCATGTGCTGATGTTGTTGATTGGTGGTAGAGAGGACCATGGTACTCATAAAGCCTCCTTGGCTGAAATAAAGTTACATGGGAGAGGTTTTAAAAAGGGTGTAAAATGCTGGTAGCCGATAACCACCCTCCTGGTTTGAGAAAACATGAAATGGAATAAGCTAATCAAATTTTTGGCAATATGCAATGTTTCTTTATTAATTCAAAGATTGATAGAGAATATTTGAAATGGTTGACAGGGTCTAATGTACATCCAATTATAATGCGTCTGATGACGATTGTGTGACGGTGTGAAATGTGTCTCTGCAAAATCAAATTCAAAATTTTTAATAATGTATATGCCACATGTATAGACTGGGTGTAAAAATCCATGTAACAATATAGAAAAAGTGGTGTGGCTTACCTTCAGCAACTTCTTAGAAGGATTCTTTACCTGCAAGTTAAAAAGATAAGGTAAGAGAAGTTCACCCCATATAGTGAGATACTAAGTTATGCTGTGCATTGGTGCTTACAACTTTTTGCTCCTCTTCATCCGACTCGCTGCTTTCCTCCCTCTCCTGTAAGGTCAGGCACGCCTCCGGTGTGACTTCAGTTTTGCTTGCCGCATCCCCAGGAACATGAGCTGGTGGTGGCTCTGAGGTCTCAGCCGTCCTGGAGCTGCTGTCCTCTGGCTCTTCTAAGGCCTCCCATGTGTGCTCCATTTCACTGACCTCACTCGGTATTGGCGGCTGAGGCTGCAGTGGTGGTGGCTGAGGTGGCTCTGAGGTCTCAGCCGTCCTGGAGCTGCTGTCCTCTGGCTCTTCTAAGGCCTCCCATGTGTGCTCCATTTCACTGACCTCACTCGGTATTGGCGGCTGAGGCTGCAGTGGTGGTGGCTGAGGTGGCTCTGAGGTCTCAGCCGTCCTGGAGCTGCTGTCCTCTGGCTCTTCTAAGGCCTCCCATGTGTGCTCCATTTCACTGACCTCACTCGGTATTGGCGGCTGAGGCTGCAGTGGTGGTGGCTGAGGTGGCTCTGAGGTCTCAGCGTCCTGGAGCTGCTGTCCTCTGGCTCTTCTAAGGCCTCCCATGTGTGCTCCATTTCACTGACCTCACTCGGTATTGGCGGCTGAGGCTGCAGTGGTGGTGGCTGAGGTGAACCAACAAAAGATGTAACAGGCTCTGCAGTGTCCATTGAGTAGCTAGTGGACCCAGGAACACGAGCTGGTGGTGGCTCTGAGGTCTCAGCCGTCCCGGGGCTAATGTCATCAGAGTGGTCTGAGGTCTCAGCCGTCCCGGAGCTGCTATCATCAGACTGGTCAGAGGTCTCAGCCGTCCCGGAGCTGCTATCATCAGACTGGTCTGAGGTCTCAGCCGTCCCGGAGCTGCTATCATCAGACTGGTCTGAGGTCCCAGCCGTACTGGAGGTGCTGTCCTCTGACTCTTCAGCGGCTTCAGAGACCTGCCTGGCAGCTTCATCCTCTCTGCTTTTTTCCAGGGAATTTGTTTTTTGCCTTTTCCCATCTTCTGAAAGACCAATTAGTGAAAAAATGGTAACAGCATATTAGTGGCACTGCTCGAATGAGGAGCAGATCTGCTCTGGTGAGGGAAGCTTCTCTGTTAAAGCATTCCATAATAGCTATGAGCTGCCACCCAGTCTGACAATAACCATTAAACAAAGTAGTAGAAGTATTAGTAGTGGTAGTAAACTTCAAACTCACCAGATTGCACCTCTCCCTGCTGGTGGGTCCCGGTCTGCTTTGTAAGGTTGGAGAGCTCTCTTATCAGCACCCTGTCCAGGGACATTATCTGTGCTGCAGACAGACGGACCTGAGGAAGAAATACAGTCATACATTGAGGACCTGGAACACATGCTGTAGACAGAACCTTCATACAGTGCTTTTTCCAGTGACAGAGGGCACCATTACCTGGGAGAAGTCCTCCCGCCTCAGGAACGTCAAGAACCTCCTGATGGCTACCAGGTAGCCCCTTGTGGTTTCTGCCAGGCTCTGCCTCTTCAGCTTAGCTATCCACCTAACAAACAGAAAAAGCAAGAGTGTCACACTGATGTCAGCAGTTACCAAACCATAAGAGCCAAATCAAAATAACAACATTTACCTTAAGACCTTCCCTGTCCTCTTTAAAAACATGAGGTGGGACGGGGGAGGGCTTTTCATCCCCCACATGTGATGTACAAAACGCCTGACATGTTTCACAGCCTTCTTAAGTTGCCGTTTACCCCTCCTGCTCGGCCCGGACCTCAAGAACTTTACTATCAGGTACTCTGTAAACCAGAGAAGAAGAAGAACGAACAGAGTGTTACTGAAATGTCAGGGCAATGCAGGCTGAGTAATTGATAAGAGTACATTATTACTTTACAAACCAAAGTCTTTTTTGTGCTTCTTTGGGGTGGGGGGCTGGCTGGCTGAACCTGCTGGCGTTTTGTTCTTCCTCATGGCAGACAGTTGGGATGCAATTGCTTTTTTTTTGGTCTCCTCCAGGAGCAACTTCCTGGCATCCTTCTGTGAACACAGAACATTGGGTGAGATCTGTGGCATCTGAACAACTTACATTATAGAGCAGTCAATTTATTGATACCGGGTCTGCAAAGCAACAGCAATTGTTTTTACAAAAGTGCAAATACCCACCTCCATACTGTGCACAACCCTTAAATGCCGGTCCAGGCGGACGTAGCTTTTTCCATGGCATTCTGACATTGGGCAGCCTAGTGGGCCTGCGTATCTAAACAAACATAGTCAGACATTTTCAGCACAGCAATCAGCAGCCTATGTAGTGTGTTTGCGTTTGCGTGCGTTTCACTTACCTTCCTGAAGCCATTCCCAGCATGAGTATGCGCTGTTTATGATCTGTGATCCCGTGCACACTCCTGAGGTGCTCTGAGCGATTGGCATAGGGAACTCTGCACAACGGGCAGCGCTTCATTGTCAACCTTTTTCTGTGGAGAAATAAGTGGACAGGTGAAAATCAAGTATTTAGTAAGCATTACACCTTTCACAAACCCCAAGAGGTAAGGACTTAATGTTATTACAGGTTACTAGTAAAGCCACCTCTAGACTAGCAGGAGCTAAATTTGACCACACATTCAAAGTCTGTATGTCCTTGCAAAGATTTTACAACTCTGGATTAGTATAAAGATACTCACCAGAAATCCAAACTGAGAAGAAAAAGTTTACTGTGTTGCGTCTCCTCAGCATCAAAACTCCTCCAAGACTGACACTGTTAAATTGCTGGGACATTTATTTGGGGACACAAGCTGCCTATCAAAATTAGGGGCACATCCCAATTCAGAAGGCCTGCCCACATGTTGTGAAGACGTTCTGGCAAGGATGTTAAGGAAAGCCCAATTCAGAAGGCCTGCCCACATGTTGTGAAGACGTTCTGGCAAGGATGTTAAGGAAAGCCACACATTAGGAAGACGTTTAGACGAGGACTCTGTGGAAAGGACGTAGAGCCTTGTCTTATGTTATGAAGACGGTTTGACGAGGACGCGTTGGAAAGGACGTAGAGCCTTGTCTTATGTTATGAAGACGGTTTGACGAGGACACTTTGGAAAGGACGTATAGCCTTGTTAAATGTTATGAAGACGGTTTGACGAGGACGCTTTGGAAAGGATGTAGAGCCTTGTTAAATGTTATGAAGACGGTTTGACGAGGACGCTGTGGAAAGGACGTAGAGCCTTGTTAAATGTTATGAAGACGGTTTGACGAGGACGCTGTGGAAAGGACGTAAAGCATGGCAACATTTTAAATTAACGTTTTTCAAAGGTCACACAAATTGTCTTTAAAATTATGGAATAAGCGAATCAGCGGTCAGAAACATCAAATCTGTGCAAAGCGGAGATTCAGTATGACACCCACACTAACCCCTGACTATTAACTTAAAAATGTTCTCCATTAATCGACTGCAACTGAAAATCGTGAGAAATGCCTCCAGCGACCCAGCGCCTAAAGCGCCCATCCTGCAAACAGTCCCAACCTTATAAAGAGTACCCAGCACATCTTGTCATTTTAAATGTTATGGTATGTTTAAAAAACTGTGTTTTACTACTGGCTTTAACCTTCCCTAGATATGTGTTTTACACACCCTTCATGTGACTAAAACATCCTAATGTATAAAGTGCTTGGTAAATAAAGCTGCCATAAAGTGGAGTAAACTGTACAAATTTCTTCGGTAACATGTAGTGAAGGAGAAATAGGCATGAAAAGGAAATACCCAAGTAAATTACAGGTGCCTCAAATGTGTACCCAGGTACAGTACTTGAGTAAATGTACTTAGCACTGCTCTTATTCATCAGGCTTCTGCAGCCCTTTAAAGCCCCTTGACACAGTGTCATGTTAAGGACACTGATGGACTAAAGTGAGCGAAATTTAGCCAAATCAGGAAACCAACCCATGAAAGCTCCTTGGAAATGCTGGTGTCATAAAGAACACGAAGAAAGGAAGCAATACATTTTATACAAACAAACCATTTATTAAAAAATACATACAAAAAAAACGTAAAACATAAACAAGGTTGGCTGCGAATGTTAAAGAAAATGTGTGGGCATGAACTTTAAACAGTCACATGGGGTTGGCCAAAAAACCAAACAAACCATTTATTAAAATATAAATACAAAGATACAAATAAAATGTAAAACATGAACAAATATGTACATATATATAAACAGTGGACACAATCTTACACTAGCCAGGAGATATCTGGAAGGCTGTCGACCTCTCACTCAAGGTTAGATGTTAGTGGCTTCAAGAAGAAAGTTTAGAGAAGTTGAACCCCATACTGTGAGATGCTAGATTTCTGCTGTGCACCTGTGCTCACCACTTCCAGGGCATCCTGAGATGGAAGCCTCTTTTCTTCCCAGCTTCTGAAAGACACAGATAAACCTGTAAAATGTGTATACACATATGCATCTTTCCACCACAGTGCACAAGGACACAGATCCGGATGGCTACTGAGACATTACCCTTACATTACCCTTTTCAGAAAATACTTTTGTACTCTCTACACTCAAATACATATTTTCATGACATGTTTTAGTAAAGTAACCTTACTGTGTGTGACTACCTCCAGACTAGCAGGAGCTAACGGTAACCACAGCTGTGCGGCTGTTTTAATCCATTTTTATTAAAGTGGGCCTCATGGAAACCATCTCACCAATTCTCCAACCTTGTAAACACGGTTTCCAAAGTTCTTCTCTCCTTTACAGTGACCACTTGGGGAAAGGTTACGTGGGCGGGGCCTCCTCTCGGCTATATTAAAAGGTGAAAGCGAGTGTTTCCTTTAATGAGAGAACTAGAGGCACAAGAAGAGAAAAACTCATTGAGTGTGAGCTTCGGGCACAGCAGTCAGGTAAGCTCTTACTACTATTTATTGCTGCCTAAGTAATATGTACTGTCAGTTGTAGATCTTGTGCTGTATTGATGCATTGTTGATGCATATGTACCTCAAATGTTGCTTTGGATAAAAGCCAAGTGAGTAAATGCAAATATAAACATGTGTTCACTACTCTGAAAGTCTGATGTCAGCTGATAACAGTAATGTCAATGTGCCTTTCTAGTCTGTGTGTCTAACCGAGTTTAGCAACGCATCTGTTGTCTGTCCCTGTCTTGGTTGCTTTCCAGCCTCTGTATATGAACAATGTTGGAGTGAAATACAACCATTTATTGATAAATGCTGATGAGAAGTGGTGTTTAGAAACTGCAGCTCAGAAAATATAACTTGCCTTGCTGGGACTCGGTGTAACTCACACTGTATTTAGAAAGATAGGTTGCTTTTAATCAGATCTATACATTTGAATTCGTAGTACGTTTACATTTGATACTTAAGTACTTTTAAAACCAGGTACTTCTCTTGTATTATACTGGATGACTTTTACTTGAGTGAACTGCTGTAATTCTGAAATGACGATGAAATGTTGTTGCTGTTGAAATGTTACAAATACTATTGTAACACTACTATAAAGAATCTGTGGGCAGACATTAGCCAAATAAAGTGTAACCTACACGTATATTTTTGATAATATAACGTTATTATTTTTGTTTGAGGTTGAAAGATTTAGTTACACAGTCATTTCTCCTAGTTCCTCCTCCAGGTTGTGGATGGAGCCTCTGCGGTGGACAGATGTAGATTTAGCCAGAGCCAGGATGGCACTGTGCCGATATGTGCTACTTAAATATTTCGACCCAACCGTTGATTCAGTTTGTGCAGACTAAAAATTGGCAAATCGTTTTTATATGCAAGTTAATGTTAACCTTTGCCGGTCCTGGCTTGACAAGGTTTCTTGCTCAACGTGTCTTTCAGATTTTGTCCAGGAGATGGTGCCTTTGCTCAATGATTGTTGGAGTTACAAGCTATATCACAATGTAAAAATACTTGAAGGAATATGAAATCATCCCATCAACAAGAATAAATGAGTAGTGTAAAATGAAATCTCATTTGTTTCCAACCGTTTGTAATTATTTTATGCTTTAGACTGACAAACAAAGAAATATTGAATTTTTACAATGAATTATCACAGAAACTAATCAGTGGATTAATCCATAATAAAAATAATACTACATTTCCCCTTTTAAACTTCCATACTTTTAATTGTTATTTTCAAGGCAGTGCTTTTTACTTGCAACAGTATTTCTACAGTGAGCTGCTAGTACTTTTACTTAAGTAAAGGACATGCTTCATTCACCACAGCTTGATATCTAAATGTTATATACATGATATGGCTTTAAAATACTACTGTCACTGCATTGTACTGCATTGCACATTGTATGTGGGTGTGTTCAGTTCAGTTTGGGCTTCTGCTTTTTGGTCTTCTCTCTGGTTTTCTGTAAGTGAGTCTTTGATGAAAACAGAAGAACCAATCTGCCTAGTTACATGTCGTGCATTTGGGTCCTAAGATCTGTTACCAGCACACGGGACCAATTCGGACAATTACCGTCTTATATGTTTAATAATCCATATTATTAGACACATTTGACTATTCTTAAGAAAATAATCTCAAAAAGATTTTTTAAATCAAACAGTCAATTGGCAACAAATGTACTTCAAACTGTAGTACATGAAAATAAGTGAAATCAGTGTGACACTGAGTTGTGGTACTCTGTGTGTTATGATAAGGACATTACAAAGCGACGACAAGGGGTGTGACCGAGCGTCCCTATGTGTAGCGCTCTGAGCCATCTTGTTTAGTCCATTCTTCACCTGTACGGCGTGAAACTCTCTTGTCTGTTTTTTCAAAGCAGATTTTTGTTTCTCCAATACAGAGTTAAGGCTCTGGATCGGCTGATGTTTTCTTCACGCCTTTTCTTTTTTACTTTGTGTGAAACTGCATTCTGTTGGGACGCTGCTTTCTGTGCGTTTGTTAGTTTCATCTGACTGATTGGTCCATGAGTTTGTGTTTTATAGCGATATGATACAGCTGATGTCAGCAGGTGCTCAACTTTCAGTGGAGTGGTCGCATGTGTGTGTGTAAGATGAGAGATATTTGGATGGTTGTACAAGCAGGGATGTACACTCTTAACAGAGCGACATGTTGTGCTTTAAGCTCGCTTAGACGCTTGGTGTTTTATGTGTGTTTGGTTTAGATAAAAATAGTTGGCATGAGATTTTAGCTGAGCATCCTAGCTTAATGGAGGTCTGTAACATAGATAAGGTCACTTGAGCAAAAATATTTTGCACCAAAGGTAAATGTTAATCTTCCCCTGATTACACTGTGACACATAGATTTCTGACTGATTTGGCCACTTCTCAAATGTTGCTTTCAGTTTGTCCCTTTAATGATAAACATTGATCATTTTTCTGGATGTTGAATGATAATGTATTTTTTGTTCTTCTTTCCAGAACCCCAGAACTTCCACTGGCGTTTGTGGCTATATCTGAGCTCTGCAACATACCCCTCTGTAGGCTTAAGCAACCTTACAATTTGCTGCTCATGGCTAGCAGTGAATTGTTTGACGTTGGAGTGGTAAACACGGAAAATCTACTGGATGCCTTCGAGCAATATGCAACCATCAGTGATTTTTTGCATGCTGACCTGCGTATTGGTTTACATGCCACCACTCTGTCCCACCCAGAACAATTACTTTCGTTCTCATTTGATG